AGAATGTTCCGTAACCTGCAGTTAAGTGATTTAGGGAAAAATCAACCAAATACATAGCTAAGTATTGGATTGACACAGGTGCTTTTGTTCTTGTTTCCTCTATGATTGAGGTTGTACTGGTGAGGTAGCTTCAGGGTTTGCACTGTACGTTCACAGCACTTCTTAATTGAACACTCTTGACTTCAGTCTTTGTGCTCCAACTCACATTTCCAGTAATTTCTTTGCTGACAAACATGACTTCACACAATTCCTAATTTCTAGGGTTTTCTAAAAGCAAAAAGCTTACTGTTGTGCAAATAGAAATATTAGAGTGGTTCATGTATTTATTCTTTCACTGTAGTTTATAAAGATTCTTTCTGTGCTAGGATTTGATTATTTAAGGTGGTCTTTTAAAAACTTATCTTTTTAGACTTACAATAGCAGCATTAGGAGAAAAGCTTAATGATTACTGGAATGAAATGAAAACGAAGAAAAACGAAGAATATCCATTAGCTTTGCCAGTTGAAGAGATACAGTGAGTATCCCTTCCATTTAGAAGGATTTTACATGCTGTTATTACTGTTTTACACTCAGTCATGAAAATGAACTTTTCATCTGAAAGTTCTGATATTTTTTCCATTACAGAAAGCAGCCTGATCAGACATGGGTACAATGTGATGCATGTCTGAAATGGCGGAAACTGCCAGATGGAATAGAGCACTTGCCTGAAAAGTGGTACTGCTCACTGAACCCTGACCCACAATTCCGGTAAAATTAGGTTTTCATGAATATCTGAATACTGGTTTAGTTCTTTTTTTTTTTTTTTTTTTTCCCCTGTTATAAGCATGGATGTTAAGCTATTTCTGTCACCTTTTTGTGGGGTTGTTTTTTTTTTCCTCCTTAACTCAGGAATTGTAATGTGCCAGAAGAACCAGAAGATGATGACTTAATACATCCTACGTATGAGAAAACTTACAAGAAAAAGTGAGTACTAGAGACTTTCTCACAAGTGTCTGAATACTAGAAAAGGAATGTGAAAACTAAATGCCCTTTTCTCTCACTTATGGTATAATTGCAACTCTTCTGGGAATATATCCAGCCAGAAAATAGTGCCCTGAAATCAAGACTTGATCACAGCAGTGAATAGATGAATAGCACTGTTCTTATCTCTTTATTAGCGTGTTGGCATTACATTCAAATTTCTCTTTGACTTAATACCTGTTTGCCCTCCTAAATCAAAATTAGTAAAGTCATAACGAAAGGGGCCTCTCATTTAATAACTACTAAGGAGAGCAGTGCAGCAGTTGTTCAAGTACAGCTCTCAAAGGGACATTGTCTCATAGTAGCAAACAGTATGAGGAATTTGGGATGTTAGAGAAGCCAGCTACTAGAGCTGTTAGGAGACCTTGTCCAGGTAACTATTATTTTCAAGGTCCACGTTGAAGCAGCTGAATACCTCAATACGTTTATTTAAGAATAAGTGGATTCTTAGCTGAGGTGTATGGAAAAAAACTGGCTTTTGGGTAGTTTTAACTAATGCTGGCTAGCATTCTAGAAGTGGGAGTTTTGGGGTTGGTGGTTTTGTTTTGGTTTTTTTCAATTATTTAAAATAAATCTTAATCTGAGAGAGAACTTTTTTGAAGTTAAGCTAACTTTAAACTATACTAACTTCTGAGTTCGTGCAGAAAATTTGCATTCAATAAACCAGAATACATTCATTAGAACTTTCTTGTATCTAGCTGAGATAAGGAGTATTGTGTTTGCTTTGAGATTTTGAGGTTGGTTTGGTTTTATAGTGAATTAATAGTATGAATCTAAGCTCTTAATTTCTTTTTTTTTTTTTTTTACTTGCTGCTCTGCAGAGACAGGGAAAAACTGAAGAAGCGACTAGAGTACAGCTACCAGGTAATTCTTGGAAGTTATAGAAAACACGACTTTGGTAGCAGAGTTGTTCTTGCTGGCAACGATACTGTGCAGTTTGATTGAATAGGCCAGGCTTGGCGTTAGAGTTTGCTTTAACTAGTGGTCAACTGATTGGTTCAACATCCTGTTTCATTTTGATGGCTGTACAGGTTATGCTCACTATTAGTAAACAAAAAAATCCCCATCTTTGCTGTCCAGTGATGGAAAGTACACCATTCCTTTCTATGAAGTACTTAAAAGAGTTTGAGAGGGACAAAGCCCTCTCACAAAATACTACTAGAAAATATGTCAGTCACTCATATCTGGTTTTATGGCATGATGTCTAAATTACTGGAAGTGGATTTGTTGTAGAGAGATGTGATGAGGATATGAAATTAAAGATACCCTTAAAACTGGGTCAGGGGGGTGGGTGGACAGCCTTATAGTAGCTGTACTTTTGCAAGGAGGCACTCAAATTCAAATTAAATGCAGATGCAAATCAGCATGGTTGAGTGATGAGAATGTGTAGATTGTAACTCAGAGTCAGATTTCCTAAGAGTGATTTAGCTTAAATTGCTCTCAAAGTAAAGTGCTAACCTAAGATCACTCCCATTTCTGGAGAAGAGATTTTGCACGTGCTGTTTTATTCTATATACCTCATTGTATTAATTTTTGTGCCGTTACTCTTACCTAAGTACAAAAGTAATTTCTAAAAGCAAAGTATTGTTCAATTTAGACAAAGTGAATTAATTATGAGCAGCCTTAACAGAGATGGCTGCCCCATACTTTGTGTATGGTGATCAGACTTCAGACAGAGATATGGCTTGGGAAGAGCTCTTGCCTGAGACTCTACATCGTACTTTAAAATAGCTGTATCTAGAGAAAGACTTGTAACATCAGAAAGCTGCTTTCTGACAGCGATAAATCTGTGTGCAGCTGGTGTAAGGCATTCAAAGTTGTCTGAGACATCTGCCAGAAGACTGTAACGACGATATAGAACTTGCTGCTTTCTAATATGTTGTATGTCTTAAACCAACATGAAGGAAATACTTCACATGCATCAGTCGAGTTTGGGGGGAAGGGTTGTGCGATCGTTAAGTTAAGAAAATTGAGGTTTGCAATGTGGAGTCTAGTTAGCCTGCCTTATTGCAAAGTACTGAGCCTGGGTTCAAGTTGATCCTTGTAATATACGTAAGAAATGTCAGTCAGAATTTTAGGTTTTGGCAGATAGTTAGGAGAACTGCTTAAACCTATTCTGAAGAATCTAATCTACTAATGTCTGTTTCTTTTCATTCTTAACTAATATTATCTTATAGATCAATAATGAAATGTTTTTAAAAACACCTGTTTCTTCAAGTAAAGACTTCAAAACGGTCTCAGCTGTGAGTGGAAAGGAGGCTGCTCCAAGATCACTTTTACCAGAAACATCAAATGCTTCTGTCAAAAGACCTCTGCTTATTTTAAATAGATCAGTATCTTCACCTCATTCTGATTCTGATAACAGGTTAGTGAACCTGTACAAAGTAGATTCCGATTTTTTTCTAAAATTAATAACTTGTTAATGAAATTATGGTGTTGGGTGTAGTCGCATCATGAGGGTACCTGCCAAAATTCATATGTCGCTTTTGGGAGTATAGGAAGCAGCACGTTGATTAAAGTTACCTAGAAACCTTGTGAAGTATAAAAGTGAATGCAGGAAAAAATACTGCGCACTGGCAAGGAAAATTGCTTAATGGTTTGTCTGTTTAGGAAAAGACTGTGTTGTGTCAACCATACTTGGTTGTGTGTTTTCCTTAACCTCCGTTCATTAAGGAAGGGATGTGAGAGGGAGGTGTTCCCACAAATACTGAGTTTCGGTCTGTTTCAAAATAATGTGTGAAGGTAGTAATTTAGTCTGTGGATGTCAGCCACTTGTTTTTACGGGAAAGTTATTTACTCTGGCTACACATCTTAAAATAATATGCAGGGAGACATCCCCTTCTAGTTATTGAGTGGTAGTTTTTAATAGTGCTTATAGAAACACTAAACGTAGTTTGAAATGAAGGATTTTGTAGTATTGGAGCAATACAATAATCACTTTAATATTTTGCTTCTCAGTCTTAAACGGAAGACACCTAGTTGCGTGACACCTGTGACTTTAAAGACACCTCGATTGAATGAAAAAACATTCAACAGCCATGATGATGATGATGAAGATGTCATCATTTTAGAGGAGAGCAGTACTCCAAAGCCTTCAGCAGATTCTGATGTTCCTATAGTAAAAACTGAATGTATTAATTTGGATCAAGAGGAGGAGCAGAAAGAAAACTGTGATGTCCCAGAACCTTGCAGTGCAGCTACTTCAGAACCAAAAACTGAACAGTTCACCTCAGCGACACAGACAGAGCTCCCAAACTTACTTGTTAAAAAGGAAGAGCTGGAAGATGACACCGACATTCCAATCTCCAGGGCAGAGGTAGAAACTAAACAGCACAATGTTAATGGTGTTTCTGAGACATCTGCAGATCTTGGAAATGAACTGAAAAATCAGCTGCAATTATTAAACAAAGAAAAAGAAATGTACCAAAACAAATGTGAAGTATTAACCAAACAAGTAGAAACACTGGAACAGAGGATTTTAGAAATTAATAATAAGTATGTAAAAAAAGAAATGTGTCATCAGTCAACTGAGACAATTTCTTCATTTGAAGAAGAAAACGTTCATGAAAGAAGTTTGGCAGAAGTGACTATTCTTTATGAGCAGGCCTTAAAAGAAATAGCAAAACTAAAGGAACAATGCAGTACCCTGCAGAACTTAAAAACTGAATGCAGCAAGTGTGCTGATGGTGAAAATAGGAGCGAAGTAGATGAAATCGCTGTGCAACTGGACGATGTTTTCAGGCAACTGGACAAGTGCAGCATTGAGAGAGACAGATATAAAAGTGAGGTATGTTTGTTTAAAACAGTGATATCCTTCAAATTAACATTCTTTTTTTAATGGGTGTTTCATAGCAGTTCTAGTACACAATGTGTTGTGTAGTTCAGTCCACTGACTAATCAAGCCACCTAAAAGGGGGGAAAAATATTAAATTAGCCTAGGAGCTTCTGGTTTTTTGCTTCTGAAGATAGAATTAAGTAAACTTGAGAGAGACTGCAAGGCTCTGAGTGGCTCTGACTGCAAGACAAGACAGACTGAGCAGGCTTAGAGGGAGCACACATACAGTGGTTCGGCTGACAGCTGTCTATTTTAAAGCAGTTTGTCTAGGTTGTCATATCTTAAGACCTCACTGAAGAGTTAATTGAAAGCAGTCAACAAAGTTAAATGATTTAAATTTGTATTTTGTCTTTATTTTAATTGACCTAGATTTTACTTGATATATAAAGACTTTTTTTTTTTTTTACTTGCCAGGTTGAACTACTAGAAGTAGAAAAAAATCAAATTGCCTGTCAATGTGAAGAACTCAAAGCAGAAATTGCACAGTTAAAAGCTTCAATTCCGCAAGCAGTAGCACGTGCAAATGATTCTACCACCAGTAATGTAGAAGACTCTGTAAATTTTTCTGATGGAGAAAGGTATCAATTTTGTTCTTTCTAGACTATATTTCAAGCAAGATTTTGGCTCGCTGATTGTATCTGAAATATCTTGATGAAGGTCATGTCTTATAATCATATAATAAAATGTGATGCTTGGAATTATTTTCTACTGCCTCTTGTGACTCGTAACTCAATAACTTTTTTTATCAAGGGATTTATTTAATTTTTATGATTTAGGTATTTGTGTGAGCAGGGTTGGTCATTGTACAATAGAATACCATACTGACACTTCTTAAAAACAAAAATATTATGTAATTTCTAGACACAACGTGCAGAACAAGGAGAAAGAAAGGAGGCAGGAAAGAGGGTGATCATTAGCTTACGCTGTGTAGATGACCTTCACTTTTATATTCTATTTTTCTTTCTTGGATCAATAGTACTCTACTGAAAAGAGTTTGGATTTTGTTTTGAAACTTACCTTTCCTGTAAGAACTTCTTGCTGCAGACCAATACTGTGGAACTAGGTTGTGTCCAGAGTGTATCTTTGAACTAAATGAGGGTTTAAACTTACAAATAGAGAGCTTGCAGCTCTCGGTTAACAGAAATAGCAAACACAGAAAAGAAGTACACATACCAGATGGAAGCAAGGTTGAG